TGATGTCAGGCCTCACCGACGCCCCGTTTGACCCAAATTAGCCACTAAATGACCGTCAGGACGCGTCTAATTGAGCGTAGCGGCTGTAATCAGGATAAAGGTGAAGCATGAGTCACCACCGGATGTTTTTTTTTCTTCTTCTGGTTTTTCTCTGCTTCACTTTACTTCTTCTCCCTCCGCCTCCCTTCAGAAAACCACTCGGCCCCTCCGGACGTGACGGGCTACTCGTCAGACTCGTCCCACTCCCACACCGAGCGCCACCACATGGCCAACATGGGCACGATCGCCAGGAACACGCAGAAGTACGGCAACGCGGAGCGCATGGAGACCGGCGACGGTAGGAGTCATCCGCCTCGAACGCGCCTCCGGGCTGCAGCCGAGTAAAGACGCCGCGGATAAAAATAGCAGCTCTTTAATCAGGAAGTGAGCTCAAATTGGACCAGCGCCTCAGAGAACTGGCCAATTACACAGTTTCTGGAGATGACAGTCCCCTGGATGAGCAGATTGGGCTGCTTCTTTTTTTTCCCACCCTTTATTTTTACTGAGCACAGCTGACGGTGCACCTTTGTTCTTTCTCAGCACGATTCACAGTCAGGAACAGGCTGGTCGCAGCAGACAGACGAAAGCCTTTTTGTACAACAAATGCACTGATTTGCAACTACAAAAATCAAAAACAGCGCCTCGGTTAGACTTTGCAGCACATCCAAGCCAGGCTTTAAACTGTGCCTGTGGTTTTACACAGTCACAGCGACCTCAGGGTGTCAGGCGGCCTTCTGATGGAGCCTCCGGTACATGTTTTACATCTACTTCACAGTAAACACTGAGCTCAAGCTTGACTTATAATAAACATACAGAGCTTAACTCATGTATTAGACCACCACCCAATGTCAGGTTTACGCCACAGCTGCCCTGAACAAACAGCATTTCTTATGCTTCTATGATGGTCAATCCACCAATATTGTTATCCATGAATTTTCAAATTTGCTGTTTTACAAAAAAAATTTAAAAATAGTAAAGCACATTATTATTTCTTGATTAAGATGTTAAATTATAGTTAATTACTCACATTCCTGAACAGAATTTGGGTCTAAAAAGGTGAATTCAGTTTGAAATTCCTCATCAGAATGTTAAGCAGGGCTGCAAGGTGGAGCAGTGGTTAGCACTGTTGCCTCGCAGCTAGAAGGTCGCCGGTTCGTGTCCCAGTGAGGACACCCGGGATCTTTCTGTGTGGAGTCTCCATGTTCTCCCCGTGCAGCGTGGGTTCTCTCC